TCGCATAGACCCCGCCCACTAGGATTAGCCCCGCCTCCATCTCGAACGGGCCCCGCCCCACGTCCCTAAGCCGTCGGCCTGTCTCTCCGCGAGCCCCCGGGTCTCAGCCCTCGGTCCTGGCCGGCTCCTCCTCCCTCTCCGCATCCCAGTTCCGCCCATCCTAGCGCACGTTTGTCGCGTCCGAATCGACCCGGCGACCTACTCCTGCCCCACCACCCTCATCTCCGATCCCTTCCCAGGGGTGGCTCCGCTCGCTAGCGCCCCCTTCATCCTCAGGGAAGAAACATATTCTGGTGCTAAGTGAGCTGCGCGCGGAGGACGCCGGTGAGGTCCGCTTCCAGGCGGGACCCGCCCAGTCCGCAGCTGAGCTGGAAGTGGAGGGTAAGCCGCTGCCCGCGGGGGCCGCCTGGAGTGGGCATCACCTTCCCTGGGCCTGGCAGGCTGGCGGCTTGTCCTAGGAACGCTGCCTCTTCCACCTCCCTTTCTCGGGGGGCTCTCCCTGGGCGGGTCACAGAGGGCAGTGCGCCGTCTCCGGGGGAGGAGGAGACTTTGAGTTGAGGGTACAGAGGAATGGGCCCGTGGCATTGAGATCTGAGACCCGGAGCGGACGCCGTGGGGGGAGGGAAGACGCGTTTCTCTTCCTGGGGGTCCTGCGTGTCCCTATTAACTTAAGCCCTCGTCCTGCACCCCCAGCACTGCCTCTCCAGATGTGCCGCCGCCCGCCTCGCGAGAAGACAGTTCTGGTGGGCCGCCGGGCGGTCCTGGAGGTGACTGTGTCGCGCTCGGGGGGACACGTGTGCTGGTTGCGGGAGGGGGTCGCGCTATGCCCGGGAGACAAGTACGAGCTGCGCAGCCATGGCCCCACCCACAGCCTGGTCATCCGTGACGTGCGACCTGAGGACCAGGGCACCTACTGCTGCCAGGCCGGCCAAGACAGCGCCCACACGCGGCTGCTGGTAGAGGGTGAGTGAAGCTGACTTGGGCAGGAGGCCTGGCCAGGCAAAAGTGGTCGCCTGGGAGCTGGGGGGCTGAGACACACCTCCCGCAGATATTTCAGGGCCTGGGGTGGCCAGTTGGTCCTGGGATGTATTGAAGGTAGGAAGGGGGGGGGGGGCTGGGATCTGTTAGGCTGAGGAGAGGAAGGAGCTGTGTTCTCCACGGGAACCACCTTTCTACACCCCTTCCTGACCAGTACCCTCCTCACTTCCTCCTGCCACTGCACCATGTTTGTCTCACCTGAGTACCCCATTTGTAGCCAAGTTCTTATCCTCCCAACTACCGGCTCCTGGTTTGTGGCCCCCACAGGTCCCTCACCCCCTCCTGCTCTCTGCTGGCTTCTGCCCATCTCAGTGAGTTCAACATCAGCCTGGGCAGAGGGCTCCTGAGCTAGTCCCATTTCTTTCCTCTCCCACTTAAGAGATGCCCCACTCTCCACCCCAATTCCTGCATTCCCTTCAGACGCCTTGCCCCTTGCAGCACAGACAGCCGTGACAGAGGCCCAAGAAAGGGTGGGGCAGAGGGTGAGGGCCACTCTGCCTGTGTGGGTGCCCAGGTTCTGCCAGGGAGGATGGTGGTACCCACTTTCTCCCCAGCCCCACGTGGAGTTATTCCTCTGCAGGTAGCTAGAAGGACCGAACCAGGCCAGGCGGGTGCCCTCGGACAGCTTGGAAGGCACATGCCCTTACCCTGGGCAGGGATGGGAGGCAGGGAACCAGAGGTGTTGAAAAACAATAAAAGTGGTGTAGCCCTTTTCCTTGGCTCTCTGTATGACGAAGGAGGGCAGAGCTGGCCTGGAGGACCCTGTGTAGTGAGTGACACAGGGACCAAGAACTACAGTGCTTCTAAGTTGGCCCATGGACGTGCCAGCCACCGAAGATCACTACTCTTGGCAGAAGCCACAGTTTGGCACATTTATAAAAGATGTAAAACAGGGTGGGGCGAAGGGAGACAGAAGCATGAGGTGTCCAGGGTGGCAATGACAGACACCAGACATGCATCGTGCATTTAAGCCCCCTTAGCCCCAGGCCTCCTCCCCAACCCAGCCCAGAGCAGCAGCCCCCACCCCCATCCTCTGTCACTGCCCTCAGGCTGGTGGCTTTGCAGAGGACAGGGAACCAGGGTGAGGGGTGCTGCAGTGGAGAAGGACAAGAAGCCTTGGATGAATCTGGCTGAGAGGCAGAGCAGGGGAGGGAGAAGGCAGACCTCCCCCACTTGGACATGCAGGAGAGTGGCCCATGGGACCCCAGCAGTGGAAGAGGAGGTGGGCAAACCTTGCAGAAGCCCTACCAATCAGAAATCTAAGGCAAGGGTCCCAGTGTTCCCTCCAACCCCACCCCTTCATGCACACGCACGCACAGGTGACACACTCACAACCCTGAGCACAGCCCAAAGGGGCTCACAACCCCTGTCCCTCAGGAGGCCCTTGGGAGAGGGCTTTCCCTCAGACCAGGCATAGCCCGAGACAGGTCCTCCCTTCTAGCAGCCGGGCCAGTCCTCTCCAGGGTAGAGAAACAGCCATAGGCTACAGGGCTAGGTGGGCTGGGTGGTGGCCCAGCAGGCCTCCGCAAGCTAACAGAGCTGGTGACCACAGAGTCCAGGTGGGCGGGAGCCGCTAGACTGCTATACCCGCACAGGGGGCCCTGTGCAGGCTGTCAGTGGTCCCCGGGACCCGTATTCATAGTCCATGTCTGTGGGTGAGGCCATGAAGGAGCTCAGTGAGCTTCCTGTCTGCCGGTCCCGGAAGCTCTGGATATAGCTCTGTGGGAGAATAAACACAGGTGTGAATGCAGCCACAGACTCCTGCCCTGAGAGCCACCTCAGGCAGACATCCTCTCCCTGCACCCCCACAAGCCTGAGACTCACCCCAGACGGCTGCAGTCCCAGGACCTCATCACACTCATAGTCTAGCCCTGAGACCCTACCCCATACCATACTTAGTTAAAATTCTTACTCAGGCACTGTTCCCCCATCCCAGTGCTGGGCCCATCAGGCTCCTGGTGCAGGGGTTATGATGGGTGGACAAACACTAGGCCTTCTAGACAGTGCCCAGCCCCTGGGGAAAGCCCAGTCCTGCTTGGACGGAGCTTCCACACTCCCTTGACCCCATTCGGATTGGAGGGGCTCGGAGTACTCACCGGGGAGAGGACATCTCCATTGAAGCGTTTGATGGGCACTGGCCTGCGCCGATAAGCAGGGTCAGGGGGCCCAGGCCTTGGAGGAGCCCGGGAACCTCTGGAGGGAGCCCTTGGGGGTCTCTTCTTGCGCCGCTTCTCCTTGCGCTCTTCCTGCTGCCTTATCCGCATCAGCTGCACACGTCGTCGCTGACGGCTGATGACCACTGTGGAGGGATGGGCAGAGAAGCGTCTCAGGGGTCCACGTGTGTCATCTCCACCCTTCCTACCTGTGACCCAGGGCTTCCAGATTCCCCTTATCTGTAACCCCTCCCTTTCCTTTCCTGGTCTCCCACCTCCCAGATGGGGATTCCATTGCTCTTTACCTCTGAAGGTCTTTATGGAAGATTCCTAGACTTCTAGGTACCCCCTCTCCAGCTGTCATCCCTCTCCCAACCCTGAGGTCTAGGTGACTCACCAAGACCAGCCATCATCATCCCTCTACTGGACAACCTCAGCTGCCTCCTCACTGGTTTCCCTTCTACACTTGCCTTCCCCAGTGTTTTCTACACTCAGCAGCCAGAATGAAATCCCAAATGCTAAATTAGATCATGTCCTCCCTGCTTTAAGCCTCCAGCAGCATCTCATTGCTCTCCTAATAAAATCCAGCCTGGCTGGCATGGCTCAGTGGTTGAGCATCGACCTATGAACCAAGAGGTCACGGTTCGATCCCAGTCAGGGCACATGCCTGGGTTGTGGGCTCAATCCCCAGTGTGGGGCATGCAGGAGGCAGCCAATCAATGATTCTCTCTCATCATTGATGTTTCTATCTCTCTCTCCCTCTCCCTTCCTCTCTGAAATCAATAAAAATATAAAACATAAAATAAAATAAATAAAATCCAGAGTCCTCATCATGGCCCAGAGGGCCCACATAACCAGCATCCCTCAGTCTCCAGTCCAGCCCCATTTCTTCAACAAGCCAAGCCCATCCCTTCTCAGGCCCCCACTCTTGCTATTCCCTTTTCTCTAGCTCTTTGCCTGGCTGGTCCCTTATTCTGCAGAACTCCACTTAAACGTCACCTCTTCCAAGTGGCCTTCCTTGAGCACCCTGTCTATAATAGCCTCTGAAGGTCATTCATATTACCCTGCATATCTTTCATATCACTCTGCACAACTAGAACTATCCTGTTTGTTTGCATGTCTGTTAGAGAGGGACCTCTTCTATTTTTGTCTCTGCTGTATCTCCAGTTCTGGAGTGGGCTTAGCTCAGAGCTGCTGCTCTGTACGTTGTTGTGGAATGAATAGTACCACTGAGGTCCTATCTTCTTTCCCAGACCACGATCGAGTCACCTCTCTAACCCTATTGAGGCCTTCCACTGCTGGTGTGCACAGCTTCTCCCCCCACTCCACAATTGCTCACCCGCCCACCCCCCTCCCCCACTTCTCTTATGACCACCCTGGTCCCTGCCCTCTCACCTTCCGTGTGGGAGTCCCCCTCGGCCGTCACCCGCCACTGCACCAGGACGCCCATCAGGCTGAGCAGAGGCCAAAGCGCCAACAGGGCCCAGCTCCGCCAGCAGAGAGGAGGCACCGGGGCGGCGCGCAGCCGCTCCACCGCATAGCGCCCCAGCAGCAGCAGCTCAGCAAAGTAGTCAGCGGCAGTGGCGATGAGCGCAGCACCAGTCACAGCGGTGGCCAGAGTGGTGAGCGGGCGAGGCCAGCGCAGCGTGAGCAGCGCGCAGAGCAGGCCGCCCCCCAGCAGCAGCCCCAAAGGTCTCCACACGGAACCCGGCTGGTAGTAGGGGGTGGAACCCAGCAGGGCGGCAGCAGCGAGCAGGAGACCGAGCAGCAGCCCCACCAGGAAGAGGCCCACGCTGCGCACCAGCATGGCCACCAGCCCGCACAGCAGCCCGATGCCCAGTGCGATGCCCGCACTCGCCCCGGCACTCAGCTGTGTCTCCAGCACCCGCTCCCGGTAGCACAGCAGGAAGATGACCACCGAGCCAAACAGCAACCCAGTGAGGAAGAGCACTGCCTTGAAGCAGCGGTAACCTGGAGGGGAACAGGCGCCAGTGAGGGGCCAACGTGAGGTCACCCGGCTGCAGGCAAGGGGTAGAGGGATCAGAAAGTGAAATCTCAGGGGAACCAGAGGCAGGATACTAAGGTAAGAAAATTGGGGGTCATTGGGGTCCTGAGGGCACCAGTGATGGGGCCACTAGGGCCAAGGGAGGTCAGAGAGAGAGGTCACTAGGTGTCACTTGGAAAACAGAGAGACAGACATTGAGATGAACATTTGGTCTTTGAGGGTTAGAGGAGTCAGAGATAGGTCATTGGACTCAAGAGTGCATCAGTGATAGGGTCATTGGGGTCGTTGGAGTCATGGGGGTGAGAGAAATAGGTCACTGGGTCACAAGGGGATCAACAATAGAGTCATTGGGGTCTATGAGGGGGGATTGTTCAGAGAGGTGAGGTATTTGGAAGTCAGAAAGAATTTGAAAGATGAGGTCTTGCAGGGGTCACAAGGCTTCAGAGATATGGCATCTTAAAAGGTTATAAAGGGTTATTAGGGACTGGTTCCAGGAGATGAGGCCTTTGCAGGTCAGGGGATTGATAGACATGGAATCATTGGGAGTATTAAAGGGTTTCAGAGAGAGGGTAATGTTGAGGCCAGAGAAATGGGATTATTGAGATCTTGGTGGGGGAGGAGCAATCAGGCAATGAGTTCCTAGCAATAGTTAGGGGAATGGAGTCAAAGGGATAAAAGGTGATGAGATAGCTGGAGGAGGGGGGTCACTAGGGCTTACAAGGGGTCATAGGGACTCAAAGAGAATTATAGGATGAAATAGTGGTTGTGGAGTTCCAGGAAAATGGAGGTTATAGGGCCATTTGGGTCCATTAAGGGTAACCAGAAGAGTGAGGGACTTGCTGATCCTGAACAGTTGGGAAGGTGGGGGTGAAGGGGTCAGGGAGAGCCAACGAGAAAGGTCAAAGAGAAGATTCAATTCTGGGAATGAAGGGAAGCATTAGAATCCAGGAGGTTCTGGAGTCAGAAAGAGGAGCAGGGCATACACAAGGTTCAGAGTCCAAGAGCCTGGGAGTGGGGGCATCCAAGAGGGGTAAGGTGGCAGGAAAGCACAGGAGAGGGAATGTCAGGGTGTATTGAGCAACTGCAGAGGGATGGGGTATGGGTATGGATTTGGGTAGGGGAAGGAGTGAGGTAACACAGACTCCTTGGAGGCCCAAATGTATCCTGAACCCATAGAGGGGCACTGCCTCCTGCCCACTCTACAATTGTTCAGCCAAGAGTTTGGGGGTGGAAAGAAAAGGACCATCTGGCTCCCATTCCTGCCTACTACCCAGCCAAGCTAGGGGGGAGGTGTAGAGGCATCAGAGCACAAGTTTCACCCCACCTCTGCCAAGCCTAGAACCCAGACCTCCAAGCTTCCTTTACACTTCTTTCAGTCACTGATAATGCTCCTCTTGGAGGCTTTCCTTGGGCCTCCAACCAATAGAGATTGCTCCCCTCTCCGAAGTTCTGCAACTCTAGCTGTAGAGCCACTGGGCACTTACTCCACTAGTCTATCTGGCACCTTTCTGCAAATTAGAAAATGGTGTGCCACCCAGGCCAGTGTGGCTTAGTTGGTTGAGTGCCCCATGCATCAAAATATTGCTGGTTTGATTCCTGGTAAGGGGACATGCCCAGGTGGCGGGTTCAATCCCTGTTTGGGATGCATGTGGGAGGCAACTGATCAATGTTTCTCTCTCACATCAATGTTTTCCTCTCTCCCCCTCTCCCTTCCTCTCTCTCTAAAGTCAATAAAACATATTAACAACAACAACAAAAAGAGGAAGAAAAAGGTATGCCTTCCTCTAGGCAAAGCAGCCTTGTGCCAAGGCCTAGAGTTTGGCAAGTGGAGCATGAGCTGGGTTTCAGGCCCCACTTGCCTATGAACTCAACTCACTTATATAGTAGGCATCCTGCACAACTGTGCACAGCCACCCTGATTATTGGAGCCTGATTATTGTAGGCGATCTTCATGTGTATGATTACTATCTAGTCTACTCTACAGTTGACCTTTGAACAACACAAGTTTGAATTTCACAGGTCCACTTATACATTAATATTTTCAATAAATATACAGTCAGCCCTCCATATCCTCAGGTTTTACATGCACAGATTCAACTGACTGCAGACTGAAAACAGTATTTTGGATCTATGGTTGGGAATCTGTGCGTGCTGAGAACCCACTTAAGTTATATGTAGGTTTTCGACTGCACCCAAACCCTCATGTTATTCAAGGGTAAACTATAATATGTATCAAGGTGTGAATATTCTAGAAGCCTCTCCCCCATTATACTCTGTGTGAAGGGACCATGCTTAATCACCCTGCTAACTGTTTTCAGTGTCTAGCTAGAACAGTGACCCAAACACATCTTCACCACAATAACTATTATTTATTGAGTCCCTACTAATTCTCACAACAACTCTATGTGAGGTAAATATCATAAAATCAATAAAAACATATTATTCCCACTGTTCAGATGAGAAAACTGAGCTAAGGCAAGTTAATATGCCCAAAGCATCACAATTAGTAAGGTACAAAGCCAGGTTCAAATTGAGGCATGCCTAATTCAAAAAATTTGTGTTTTCTAGGATCTAGATCAGCTGTTGCCAACCTTTCGGACCTCACGGACCACAGGTTGGTGACCACTGGTCTAGATGATATAGGAACATGTGGTATGAAAGAAAGTAAGAAAAGGGAGTTATTCATGCTAATTTTGGTGGCGGTGGTGGGGGTGGGGGTGAAGTTCTGGAGGAGATTTGGAGTGCATCAGGAAAATAGGGAGAGAATGGGGAGCCGAGGTGGGGGATGAATTGGGGGTCTCACCGAAGAAGCAGTAGACGACTCCAAATAGACAGCACATGATGCAGACGAGGGCCGGCAGTGCCTGGTACCTGCGCTCCAGGGGCTGTTCACAGGGTGCACCCCAGAAGGCATCATCTGGTTCGGGGGGCAGGAGCTGGAACCGCAGTGTCGCCACAGTGCCTGGCATAGTGCTAGGAACGAAAGGGAGTCACCCTCCCAGGTCAGCCTGACAGAGAGGAAGCTGGAGTCAAGGAGGAGTCCTGGGTCTCCACCAGGATGGGGCAAGAATGGGAGTGGGAGACATAGGCAAGGACACGCTGGACAAAGGAGTGGTGCCCACATCAGGCAGCTCCAGAAGCATCGTTAATTGGAGACAAAAGACAAAGGGAACAAAAGTGTCTGGCTAGAGGGGGCCAGAATGAAGAAGTCAAAAGGGGAACTGGTTGGGGGGAGATGAGGGCAGTGTGCTGCCAGTGAGGAGGCAGCCAGGAGACTCGTCTGTGGGCGGCTAAATCTGGGATTGTCCAAAATCTACCTGGGCTGGAAGCGACCTGAGCTTTTGAATGAAAGAGGCTGTGCAGAGGCCAGAGGGTCCAGGGGTGCTGGGCGCCAGAGGCCGCAGCTGCCTGGGGTCCAGGAAAAGTCCGTCGTGCGGGGAAGGGAGCTGCTGGGCCGGAGGAACCTGTCTCTGCGCGGCGGCGCCGCTCCGCCTCCAGCACCGGCTGGCACTCCAGTCCCGCGGCGTCCGGGGCCTCGGGCTGGGCCTGGGGAAGGGAAAGGAGCAGGAGCAGGAGCAGGGCTCGGGCCGCCCCAGAGCCGCGG